ACTGACCGCCTCGGAGAGAGAACTTATGTTTGTGAGAGAGAGAGAGAGAGAAAAGAGAGTGCGGTCGACCCCTGCGCTCAGCGCTTATCCATCACTATAAACAACCTGACGGGTTTTAAAACTCTGACGGCGAGCTTAAAGCCGTGACTTGGGGGACTGCCAACTAAAGGGATAGCACGACCGTCCTCTCAGGAAGGAGAATAATACTGCAATGGCTCCTTAAGGTGGCCTCTATAGCACTCCTACTCAGTTAGGTTCCGAGCGGTCCTTTTTTGTTTTGGTGAAATCCTGGCCCATCGTTCGCGGACCAGGCGTGCATAACACGCGCAGGGGGCTGCCTAGCCATATCAGCTAAGAGGTCCGATCCCGCCTCCGGTCTTCCTTACTCTGTCCTGACACCAGGTCAATCTAGGTTAGGAAGAAGAGGGTGCGGTGGATGAACCACAAGTCTACTGTCATCGAAAACTGATTCCAGCGCAAGTCACCATCCTCGCGTCCAGCATGCGGTGAAGTGGACGGTATCCATAATCGATAACGACGGCTAAAATGCCCAACGAGCCCATATTTCTTACCATAGCAGTCTGTTAGGCCAGGTCCTAGCAAATCAAAGCCAAGTCGGAGGCAGGATTGTCGGAAGACACGAAACGGACAAGATAAGTAGATGGCATTAGGGTCGTAGTAGACAGTTGAGGCCAAGGCACGTTACATGCCACTGTGATGGCCGATCTAGACCATACATGACAAAATAAGTAACATACGTATATGTTCAGTAATTCGACATCAGTTTTGTAAAATTATATAGTAAGGTTAGTTTGTGGCTGATTACAGATGAAGGAGGAGGGCAGCCAGCTGGAGAGGGAGAAAATAGTATTAGAAGGACAAGGACAATCCCATAATACGGAATTACTGAAATATTGGAGAAATTAGCTTGACAACATTTGCATGCCTGCGATGAAATGGCTCACCTCTGGTCATGGCAATTGCAGGGCCATGATTGAATCCTTCTGTGCGCAAAAAGCTGTCTTACACAGTCTGATTATCCTCGCCTTTCCAAGCGCTGTCACGGACTTCCTTGTCCCAAATGAAATCTGTTGACTACCTGGAGCGTTCCTTGAGCATCTACGTCGTAGTCAGTGTCAATCGGGTATGCAACGAAGTAGCTGTCTGCAGATTTTGTTCCCCTTCCCCAGCAATATTTATACACCACCTTATTAAATAGCTCACAGTGTCACCCTCAGGTATTTGTAATCCATAATTTTTGCCCTCATTCAGAAAAGGAGGAACTTGGTGCACTCTTCAACCGCACCATTAAAATAGCATATGACCAAACTCTTGAGGCATTGACGGGGAAACAAAAGTAAGGTTTAGGTTATCAGGGATCAATCAGAATAACAGGTAGCATAATCTAATGGTATTTCATGCACATCAGACAGCATCCTTCTAGTCGCCTGCGAAAATAGCAGTCGGCAGAAGGTGACTGCTTAAGCAGCATGAAACTTTCCACTGATCATCGCTGCCTGTTTCAGCCCAGACGCAGGCTATAGAAACCATGGGTAGAGGATTCGACCTTAAGTACTCACATTGTAAAAGATTTCATCTTATCCAAAGTGTGTACCCAAAGGAAGAGCACCTTTCAGTTTTTAAGAAGATCACGTAACTTCGTGTCATTTTAAACCAAATCAACCGCTTTGCTTGGATGTAGGGCTTCTGACTTACATACTGTATTCCCTTCATTTGAGCAAAATAATCCATCCCATATGTCAGTAGAAGACCATCAAAGCTCATAAATTTAAGCTATAGGCGAGGATCATATTATGTGCCCCAAAAGTAACTCCAAGAAACGCGTAAATACACTTTCCCACCTCAAAATTTCCACGGGTAACAAAGTTTTTAAAACAGAAAGAACCCGTCCTTCAGGTAAACATTCTAGACGTGTTTTTCCACAAAGTGCATACAATGAGTAATTATATGCGCATGTTTTTCTCAAGATCTGATTTCATTTATAAAAGCACTAAACACCAGTGGAAAAAAACACTATTTAAGTAGCCGGTTTTGGCGGAGGTTGTTCTAACCAATGATTGTGAAAATGTTATTTCGGGAGCAAGAGCCTTTATGCAGATGAAATGCCTCGTAATTATTCTTCATGTTAATTAGCATTGTTATCTCACTTAGTTGAGGTTGGCTTTGCTGGTGCCGCATATTCAAATAGAGCATAATACTCTCCAAAGTCACATCGGAAGGAGGTTATGTGAGCTATAATGACTACAGAACGGGGTGTGAGCGCGGCGTTTTGTCAAGAAGTTCTAGTATGGAGCCCTCATAGGCATTCGTGTAACAACGAATAATCAATAATTGGGATGAATTACGGCCCAACAATGGGGACTTCGGTTGGCACTTGGTCTATTTGCCGTCGTCAATATGAGAGTTCTCCGGACCTCATGTTTATGCAAAACGGAAAGCTCGTATTCCATCCTGCAATCCAGATCGATTAGCGAACGCAATCCCATACGACCTTGGACATTATCGACCACAGCCGGAAAGACATTATCTTGCGGGTTGACGGTAGAGCGCCGGCTCAATGAACAACTAAGTTAAGCACAAATCTCCGGTTCCCGAGAACCTGAGACATAGCTGGCCTATGGCGGTCAATAGGGCCGAAGTGGTCATTCAAGTCTTACTAACGTTTGCCGGCGATATTTGTCAGTCACACATTTTCTGTTCTTCAAACGAAAAAGCAGAATTCTTCAATAATTGAGCGTAGTTTGACTTAGATTACTCCCATAGTACGTGAAAGACACACTTCCCCGCGATAGTGATGCATAAAATCAATGGCCACAAAATTGGTATAAAGACGCACTGTCCGCGGCTTCAAGCAAGAAATTCTCAAGACTGAAGTTTCCAGACGCGGACCTGTCAGACCCAGCCTCACCGATGGGCTTTTTGGCAGAACATATGTTAAGTGTTTTGTGCAACAATTATCTGCAGGATAGAATAGTTCAGTGCCAACTTCTGTCGTAGAAGTACCTAAAGCATCTTGTGCAACTTAATTTCGACTCTGATCTACGTTTGACCTGGGAACCATATCTCTTAACGAAGATACGTAGACAGGTATGTGGGGGTGGGGTTAGCCAAAAGGCAGAGTACCGCAGGAGTCTTTCTTTTGTCTTGCAGTAAGATCGTCGGTGAAAGGAACTTAGGTTTCAGCACTTTTATCAGAATGGAAAGATGAGCCTCCTGAAAATTCGGGAGCACATTGAATTGCTCACAAGCCGCGAAGCAATGATAAAATAGAAGACCCGAGGTGCACAACTAAAATCGGCTTCCCAAGAAAAAACATTCTCCTGACACCTAAAGCCTAAAAGAGTGATTATAGGTTTGCCGGACATTCAGAGGACACTGCTAGTGAACGCCAGCTCATCAGGCAGAATGCTTCGAAGTGTTTAAAATTATAGTGTGTCCTGTACGCACATCAACACCGCCTACAGTTTAGAAAGTCCCAATAAGTCGAAGGCAAATAAATATAAAATTACTCTTAGATATCGGAGCGCGAAAGTTTTGGGAATCACGACTTTTGGTAGACGCGACACCAGTACTGAATGCAGGCACTTGCCAGTGTTGGCTTAGAGGTCACGTAAGCCGAGGAAAAGACGAGGAGTACCGTTCCGAAAGAAATAGCACCGGCAAGCCTGCTAGTGGTATGCTTTTAAAGTGCAACTTGAATGCCACAAGTCCGACTCCTTGCGAAGAACACTCGCCCCTCAAACTGAGAAGACCCACCACTTTTTTCGCTACAACGAGCCGGCGCAGTCCGCAGGCCCTGCACACTCCAACACACGTCAGGAGATTAACGACAAAACGGCACTAGGGCCCTCGCACCGATTCAGTTATCTGATCTGGTCTTCTCTGCCTGAAAATTCGATTTGGCCGGCTGGTAGCGGCAAATGCACTAGGGATGGTCCTTACGATTTCCCACGTCTTTGTCAGTAACATTTGCTGATAACTTATCGTCGAGGGCAATGCGACCATCCGTATGGGGTCCAGACCTAAGCTACAAAGCCAGACGAAGCGTGTGTTTCTCCAATCAGAACTTCCCGTCTATGCGGTTTGGACGTATTGACTCTCTCAGAGGACAACAAATGGAGCAGTTTAAATAAACCGGACCTTTGTATCATGTTAGGTTCGAATAGCTACCAAACCTGCTCCAGTGTAAACTGCAGAGCCGCATCTTCCCATTGTTTCTGAAGACAGAGCAGGAGTAAAAGGGGGGGACGGGGTTCGAGTTCACAGGGATGTCACGCATTTAATTTATCCTCCCTTTCACCATTCTGTGGGGTCGAGCAGAGTTGGGTTAACTGTCGGCGCCTTGCAACGCGGCGACACAAGGGTCAAAAACTTCAATTCCTGCCACAAGGATCATTACCTTCGGCAAATTCTTCTTTAAAAGACAGGCCCACAAACTGTTCATTAAAATGCTACACAGGTCATTCCTGATTCTTAAAGATGATACCACACAGACCTACCATTTCCCCGAAGTCGCTTTTAGAGCGTCCGCGAAAGTCGTTTCCTGGAATGAATGCTGGCTTTTCCATAAATGTGTCTCCACAAGACGTGCCTGATGGCATAAAAAACCATAGACAACGGTTTGCGACGTACGAGACGCGTCATCACGGCCAGCACAAGTCCTTCACAGGACCTAGCACTACGGCGTTGCCTACTTCGAGAAAAACCATGACTGCCCGTATTCCCACAAAGGCATATGAGTCGAAAGGGCGACGCATATAAACTACGCGTTCACAAAGAATGCAGACCTTAGAAGTTGGGATAAATTATTCTCGACTAGCGACTCCCTTAAATGCATGCCTCAGGGTAGTGATTTCTTAGAATCATGTTCCGTCAAACTCCCACGCAACAGTTAGAGCAGACTTGCGACTACCTCCCAGTCCCAGAAAAAAAACAGTTACGTAAAAATGAATCAAAATTTATTTAGGTACACAACCAGTTTAGGCGTCAGGAGGTTCGATGTGCACATCGGGCGAGGGAATGTTGTCCAGTATCGCTTCCTCATCGGGCTGAGCTAAAGGCTTTGGGGATAGCGAAACGAGATCCGCGTTAGCTTTCCGTTTTAGGCGCCGTTTCTCCGCTTTATGAAGCCTGACAACGAAAAGACGGTCAGTCAGTAAGAGGCAAAACGGAAATAATCTGTATTCAGGAAAGCTTGCCGACGTCGCCAAGATGGTGAGCGCTATATGGAGACTAGTGCGAGACGACTTACTGGCATTTTCAAGTTGGATGGGAACCTAGAAGACACCCAGTCGAATGGTTCGTCAAACGCGTGCAGAAATTTCCACACACACAGTTTTCAACCATACAACAGATCCAACATTAACAATGACAAACAAAAACTCCCAGAGCTAGAGGCGTGGCAAACCACTGCAGCAGAGAATAGATTAAGGGGCATAGGCATCGTGCTTTGTGCCCTTCCACGCAAAGTAGACGTACAGACGTCGAAGGCGACAAAAGCGCTGTTTACTTGCCGCGGTCATTGAAGGGTGTTGTCAGACTCCGGACTGGTTAAGTGTGATAGGGAAGCCGGATATCCGGCTATATAGCAGTCGGATAGTCTACTGTTAAATCGCTGGATCCATGCGGCGGTCGAGATGTTATTGACTACCGCCAGTACCGAGAAGCCACATGAGGCACTTTCCGTCTTATTTGTCCACACAAAGCATTCGTGTCTCACTCATTGTTTAAGTTGAAGAGGCGTATGACATAGAAAAAATTCGGTGGGCTACGGTTGATCAACAAGTAGGAACCAGCCTTTGATTCACTTCCCTCTAATCTCTCTCTCTCCAGCGTAAGCACATCGTATACTAATGCAAAAAAACTGTTTTACTTTTTTCTCTGTAGTTTTTCTTGGTCCGTCTCCTTGAAGATGGTTTTCTTCTCCTGCTTTGTGACCTCATCGGAGCGACGAATAAGTGTGAGAAAGACACCACCCGGAGTTCGACGACGAGACCCATCCTAACAAGGACCCAAAAGGACGGCATTGGGAGTACAGTTTAGAAGCGCAGCGTTAGATGCAAAAACGACGAAATGCTGAAGTTTCTCTTCACAAGTGCTTATGCAAATGGAGGCGCAGCAAAGCATCAGCCAGGGCTACAATATGGAACATTTCGAATAGTAAAATGTCAGCATCAGTGAAATAAACGAGTTATACGAAAGTCAAAAACAGTCCAAAAAGGCTCCAGAAAGGTGGCGCTCACTGCTTTGTTACATAAATGGGTACATAGTTGAATTTCATGCAATCAACGTGCTTCTACATAGGCGACCAATATCAAACTTTACTGGCCCTGAAGAAAACGGGGATTACAGGGCCTGCCTACTTGCCAGACACCCTCCTCTTGAGGAATAAAAGACTACTGTTCTGTTAAGTGGCAAAATCCAGGCCTTAAGGAATAAGAATTCGAAATAATTTTCTCTGGAGAATATAATCAGTTTTGGGAGAAAGCCGGGAAAGAGGACCCAGAATGTGGATTTTGACAACAGCCAGTACAAGGCAATGAGACAAAGGCTGTCGAAAGGGTTCTCCCTCGGGCTCCAGTAAAGGATCGGAAAAATGCACTTACTGCAACGAAGAAGCCACCTCGATTTTCAATATCTTCTGCTAAGTAGCAAAAACTAAGGGCACGCTTGGTCCCCAGAGTTTCGACTACTCGATCTAAAAGAGGAAAATAAGCGAATTCTGACAATAAGGCCAACCTATTATATCAATTTTATCTTCATTTAGGCATTTGGCAATAGCTTCAACAACTTCGGGTCCCGGGCTGTTGAAATCGACTCCTAGGTGAGTTCTGGGGATACTTTTATTGTATTCTCTAGCGGAAAGTCGATCTTTCGCAGATTTTCTTAAAAAAAGTAATGAAAATAGGAACTTAACCTTCTATTTCCATCAATTTCGAGTTCGGGTGCGGGCTGGGGCTCGGCATCTTCAATAAAATAGCTCTCGACGTCGCGCTCGATTGAGAGAGCTGTAGCCTATCGTGTGCGTTAAGAGACGTGTGTGGAAATAAGACGTACCGATTTCACATCTGTTCTGGTAAGGGCCTCATTGAGTGTACTCTCAATGACAACAGACTTCCAAACCGCATTTCGTGCCCTTTTTTGGCTAGGAGCAGAACAAGTATCTGGGAAAGCGTATTTCTAGAAGGCGGCATCGAACCTGTACGGGCTACTTTGACAAAGCACTCGTCTCCGCTGTCAGAGACTTCTCCGCTTGATTCATCTCGTTCGATGGGTTTCATGAAAGGTGTAGAGCTTTTCCACTGAGTTCACCGCCTAAAACTCACAAGTAAAACAGGTTGACTCTGAAGTGGTTGACTCGAAGGATCTCATCGTAAGCGCAAGGACACTCTTCAGGCATGAACTCTTTTCCACTTTCATCCTAGAAAAGATGAAGCCAGGAACTAATGGTCAAGAACAGCCATATAGGCGCATGGATCTAGGTCTAATTAGTGGCTGGCGGACGTAAATGAGACTTGGGTGATGGTCAAATCGCGCCTAAATATATTTTAGAATGTTAAAGCAAAAAAGTCGCTTATGTTAATATTGAAGAAGCCAAACCCGGTAAACGTACGTTTAGGATTATTTATCCTCAAGCCTATACAGTAATATAAAAACTACCCAGTTAAGCCATGTATTTCCCACTTCGTCTACCTCCGATGATGCGCCGCATGATGAGTACGAAACGTCAGATGACCTAACCTTCTCCAGAGATTGTCATGCCTTCTCATTCCATGCATATATACAAATGTATCGTAAGATGCGCGTTCCAAAAAGTTTAATTTGAAAGTAACAAGTCCTTTGCTGTTACCGGCCTACATAAATCGAGGAAAAGCACTCTGCCCAGACAGCGATAGTTACCAAATTGAACTTTATTATTTGTTCAGACTTTCCTAAAACGGATATCTTAGAGATTTTGTACGCCGATGCATGAGACAACAGGAATTAAAAGAAAAGAGCAAGGAATTAAATTGTTCCGATCAAGAGCCCAATCCAAAAATCATGAAGCTAGTGAAGAAACGATAGAGTAAAACCAAAGAGCCTAGTACTCTGAAATAAAAACTGTCAGAAACATGCTCAAAGGCAAAATAAGGGCAGTATAACTTACTAAGAAGCAGTCAAATCCCTAAGAAAGTAAGTTTGAAAAGTTGATGCACGGTAGTCAGAGTTGCCACACCTTAGAAACTCACCAGCATCCTAATCTGACGCAAGCCGAATGGTTTACACCAAGTGGAAAACTGCTACATGGGCATTCTCAACGAAAACTTGAGCAGCGGCTTGAGTAGCGGACAATTGTACCCTTCTTGGAGGGCGCCTCGAACTTGCCGTATAACTTGAATGCTTAATCGCAGGTGGTCCTAGTTACTTTCAATCCTAGGCAGGATGACAGGTAATGCGTGTGTTAAAGTCCTTGGGCGTCACAACGCTTCCACAAAACTTGCAACAGGACGCACGTTCGCATAATCGGGGATAGCAGCTGGGTATCCGCCTAATTACTCTGACGCAGGCCGTAGTAGGTTAATACATACTGAGATTTTTTTGACAGGCCTTTTCGGCTGATACGATTCGGACATACTGGACGAGTCCAAAGTGAAGATACAGTATGAAACTCGTCCGCAGTGTTATGAAACCGGCCTTGAAGTAACTACTGGTGCGCACGGAAACGGTGATTAAGCCAACAAATGGACCAGTCAGATCATGCGTATTAGTGTAAGAATAAATAGTTGACCTCATTAGCAATTATAAAGGTGCCCACATATACTCCTTATATTAAGCATTCCGCGAACTCTATAGAGCTCTGCAAAATGGGTAGTGTAGTTCATGCAAATCTTGCCGGATGACGTGCCCAGTTTCAACTGGGAGTCCCTGTTTTTCCAGGTGAGTTGAGTAAAACGCGAAACATAACAAATGTTGAAAATAATGCTGGTCCGACATGTTTATCGAACAACACTTGGAAAGTTGCGACGCTGGAGTCATCGCGTTACAGATGGGGTTGCAGAGCATAGGCTCGATAGCCAACTGTGGATAATTTACGTCCAGAAAGCCAGAAATTGTCAGGCCAAGGCTGCCTATAATTTGAACGGAGATTGCATCGCATCATCTCCCATATATTAATATTACGATCTTCAAAAAGCGCCTGGCGAGTCTAAATTCTCGTAAGATATTCCAAAACGTATCCACACGCGAAGTTCAGTAGAAAAACGTTTTAGTGGATTAGTCCGCTACTCGTACTTGTGACAATCTTAGTAACCACTTACTTAACCCACTATGCCAGCGCATAACAAAACAGCTCGATAGTGAGGTTGGTCTCGACAGCACATAAATTAACAGCGAAATCTGACGCTATGCCGGCCACGTAACGCCTTGAGGAGAAAGCGTGCCAGTCTCATTATTACAGATTAACAAGTTGGAAGCCATGCACAAAACGGAGAAGGGGGACAAAAGACTATATTTTTCGAATAACGGTGTAACCCCAAGATCAAGACGTAAACTTGTGTAGTTTGACCTTAACAAAGGGACAAGAGTTGTACCAAAGCGTGTCATTACTTAACAATACTCAAACAGCTCATTTACCAGCACAAGCAATAACTACATTTTTTTCCAAAAAAAACTTGTTCGGGGCCGATGTTATGTGAATGGAGAAACTTGACAAATACGAAAACAAGACCGAGGGGAGAGGAGTGAATTGGGTAGAAAAACATCCGGGGGATGCAGCTCGAGAGTCATAAAAATATTAGCCGACAGCGCATGACCACGTAGGTTATAGGCGCACGATAAAAGGAAAAAATTAGGTCTTGCCGCGAACCCATAACTTGGAAAGAATGTTCTATTTTGCATATTACCCTCGTATGTAAGAACACCCTTCGCTTAAAATAACACGTGCAATCCTGTTTAAGTGTCGAGTGTCCACCTTGGTTTGGTTCTCAACGAAGGTCCAAAGTGCTAGTAAAGATTGATTTAGATGACACTCAACATAATTGTGCGGTTAAAGCTGAAGTTTAACCCACTTTAGGTGGAGTTCTTATCTTTCCCCAAAGTAAGGTCTCCCGTCAGAATATATTAAGGGTCCATCCTGATAGCATTTAGTCGCTTAAGGCTAGACGCTTGCTAGCCCGTTTGACTTGCGGGCTGGTAACCTGACTGGCTGACAGCGCTCGATCTGTGCGGGGAAAGGAGCTTTTCTGCTACACCCACTCCTTGATGTTCACCTGAGAGCATTTTGCACGTCACGCCTGGGGGTCCCTTTTCGTGTACGCACGCATGCCGGGTGCACGCACGAACTTTGTCCGGAATTTAGGCCCCTGTCTGGCGACTTAAATCGCCTCGGGCTACAACGCCCTCAACTCGACCGAGAAGGTGCGTCAATCTACCATCCCCGCGTGGACAGTGTCCGCTAGGATTGCTGAAAAACTCCAGTCAATCGCAACACTAGCCCGCGACCGGGCTAGCCTTGGACGAGCAGAATGCTATTAGGACTTTCTGCAGAAAGCCTGAAGATTATAACTCGCACTACTGGCCGTTACGTGAACGATAACAATGTCGTTACAACAAAGCGCACATATTTCCGAAGTAAATCACAGTTAGGGTTTTTGTCATCGTTTATGAATGACGACGTGGGTACTCGCATATATGCGAGTTGGGGACGTTGATCCATGTGAAGATTTCTAAGACGCCAGCCTCTCAGACAAACAACTGACCCTAATCGGACAGACTGAGAGAGGATTCCCCTCGCAAGGATGCTAAAGCGAGCCGCGAGTTGATACCGAGGGACACAAACCTAAATGAGCATGACTATTTGGTACCCGCGCAATTCCCAGGCTTCTAATTTGTCTGTTCCGCAAAAATTCCGGTATAGTAAAAACTGACAAATAGAGGAATGGAGGTTGCTTTTGTGTATTGCCTATGCTCTTCCTGGGCTTTACTAACTAAATCTTTCTGGTGCTTAATCATGAACAAGGTTCCATGCAATGTTTTTTACCTGATATTTTGGGTGCAGCAGGGACTGGTTCTCACCAAGGACTTCTCTAATCTTGAGGAAGTGTATTCCAGTGCACCTCTCAGAAATATTGACGATACTACGCAACTACGGGATTACTCGCTATTCTCTCAACGCCCGAAGAGAGCAGAAGGCCGACCTAATATATGTAAGGCAGATTTTAACACGATGAAGAGCGAATTGGTGTCCGGGAATCGGGACCGTTTGCACAAGGGGGAACCGGAGGATGACTGCAGATCAGATAAAACGGTTTCACCCGACCTAATTCGGCGCCGCCGTTCATTTACGCTACGAAAAACAACAAGCCGACCTCCTTGGATAACTAAGGGCCTGAATAGGCAGTTACGGAAGAAAAGCAAAAGATGGAAAATGTTCAGGGAACTGCGTCCCTAGTGCATTTCGAAGAATTTCGTCGTCAATGAAATGCACTTACAAAATGTATCTGCCAGGCACGGAAGGAGTATGGATCCAAAATCATCCGACAGGCTGAACAGAAGCCCAAGCTTTTATTACCTTATCTTAACAGTAGACTGTAAAACAAGGACCCGATTGCAGTACATGAAAAAGATAATGACGTAAAAATCATTGAGAACAGCGGGAAAGCCGAACACCTAGGACGGTGTTTTGCCTCCGTTTTTACGACAGAAACGGAGTTTCAGAGGCGCAGTGTCGGCAATGCTGTTGAGACCGACGACCCCCCGGTTAACTCTATACTCTTCCACCTATCTGTCGTGCAAAGGGATCTACAAAATGTCAAAGAAGCAAAGTCCTGGGGTTAGGGCAATACACCGGCCAAATTATTGAAAGGATTGGCAAATGAACTCTCCGAACCACTAGCACACATCTTTCGCTCGTAATTTGAATTAGGGAGTCTGCCATCGGAGTGGAGGACAGCAAATATCTTTCCGATATACAAGGATGGGGCTCGCACTTATGCTAACAACTACCGGCCTGTTAGTCTCGCCTGCATCTGTTGTATAATAATGGAGGCCATAATTAAGAAAGCAACATTGAAGTTCCTGGAGCAGAACCACTTACTCGGGGCGCTGCAGCAAGACTTCAGTTAGGACCGCTCGTGCCTCTCCAGTTTATTGCTCTCGACTGAGCAGTGGACGCACTCACCAGATGAGGGTGATAGGGTCGATGTCATCTCCTCGGACTTCAAGAAGGCGTTCGACAACTTCTCACTCAAGCGCCTAATCTACAAGATCTCTGAAATCAGGGTAAGAGGAAAGTTGCTGACAT